CTCCTCCCCGCCACCCCACACCCACCCCCCCCCCCGCCAACAAACACTTTATGGGCTTTGGCATTTATATCTTGTTTTCCTCACTTTCATGTATTTGTGGTGGTGTTGCAGTGGTACAGCTTCCAGTTGTCCCAGTAAAAATAAAAGTGGAACTGAGTCCATGAAGCCAGGCTAAAAAGCACAAATATTACACTTCTTAAAAAACTCTTTCTAGTTACCAATCCCTTTTACCCTTTAGGGGAAAAAAACAGGCTTTGCCTCTTTATATGTGGTATTTAAAATGTAAACCCTCAATCATCTAAGCATCAATTAAAAATAAAGACATGCAAAGGAATGACCTGTTACTCAAGTACGTGTTCAAGACTGTTCAAGAGAAAAAAACTTCCCAGCTTTTCCAGAGTCAGTATCAAATCCTAAGAGAGGGACTGGTTCATAGACATTTCTTACAGTTTCTCTGGGGGAAAAGGTTGGATGGAAAAGGATACTGAAAAACCTAGTTCTCAAAAAGACAGCACAGATTCCTGGTTAAGCAGATGCAAGCAAGGAGGAGAGGGAAAGTCTGGCCTGAGACTCTTCAAGGAACTCCTGTAAATCTGTTGGTGGCTCATGAACTAGAGCCCGGGCACCACAGACTTAAACTCTTGCAAATACAAGCTCTCGCTAACAGGTGTCTGTACATGCAAATTAACAGACAAAACACGTGCCCATTGGACTGTTGCATGTAGATGAGAATATATCCAAATCCAAACTACAATTCCACTTTGCAAATTTTTATGGGACTCATTATTACACTAATAATGCTGAATATGTAAAGGATCCTTACAGTGAAAATAGACATACTTTATTTCCTTTGTAGGACTGAATCAGTGTAAAGCAACCTTAACATAAACAAAAGTCAGACCTTGGTATATCAGCAACTCTGTTCACGAGTTGCATTAAAATTGACTGAACAACTATGGCAAGTACATTTACTCCCATTTATTTACCTAAAAAAAAAAAAAAGTCATCTTTGGGCAACTTAGGAGGCTACATTTAACAAAGTGTGGTTTAAGAAGACTGACTAGGCACACAGCAGCACTTGAAGCAGGTTAGCAGTTAGGCTACATTAAGACCAAGTTCGCAATCACACGGTAGGACATGCAAGACCTGAAAGCTCTTCTTGCATACTTTGCAGCCAAAGGAACCACGTAACGGCTCTTCTTCAGAGACCGACACATTTAAGAACAAGACCCTGCTTTCTTTAAGTTCAACTTGAAATTCAGACTGGGGAGAACATGGATTGAGAGGCACAAATTCTGAGCATTGAGATTTCTCAAACACAACAGGAGTTTGCACTGGAAGATCCAATTTGGAACCATCTTGACTTAATTGCACGTTGCATAATCTAAAGCATATTGTTGCAGGACGAGGTTGTGGGACAAGACACACACCAATATGGTTAACAGTCAAGCTCCAAAGTTTTTTAGAAAAACAAGTCCTTACATATTCTTGTACATTCTAAAAATAACAGTAAATCCGTGTGCTGCTCTAGTGCATGCTCATTTCAAAAACTAGTTCCTCTCAGCACTTTCGATAAGGACTACTAATCGTGGGCAGCCGGTAGATAAGTTTCTGCTTTGTTATTTTAAAGGAATCCCTTCTTCTCTGTTTCTTCCATAACAAGCACAAATTCTTTTGCTTTTAGCCGTCATTAATCTAGACGCCGTTAGTATTCCAACACAAGTGCGCCATTAATTCAGACGTTGGTAATCTCCTAACCCAAATACTGATGATACATCTACATTGTCAGTGACACAGAAGGTTCACGACCAGGCATACGCGCCCACAGCACATTAGAAATTCAATCCTGGATTTGGTGATCTCAATGATTTAACTCAATGATTGCAGACTAAACTTTAGCAAGCTTTCATTTATATATATGAAGAATTTTTAAGACTGCTCTGAATAACATTGTTTCATGCTGTGCCCTTCACAGGGGGAAACCAGAAAGAATACTGTGCAGAAGCAACTTTGATTTTGAAAGATTAAGTATAACAGGGTATTAACGATTTCAATGTTCCTTTTCAGTTTTAAAGAAAAAATTGTATGAGGAAAATTGGCTACTCCTGCTCAGGAACCTCAGATCTAGGTGGAGCAGAGAGGGCTGGCAGTTCGGAAAAGTATTCAGTTTATCCTGTAAACCAAGAAACTGGATCCAAAAGTCACGAACAAAGAACAAACGTGGAACTCCACGCTGCTTAGTTACAGAGTCAGCAGTCCGTGAATAACTGCACTTTAATGAGTGGATTATTTTCCAATTCAGACATCTAACTATTCAAAACATTCATTTGCATGCAAAAAGCAAGCAGCTTTCTTCAGAAGTGGGCAGCTAAGCAGATATGCAACTAGCTGTTCGACATGTGCAATTATTTTGTAGAACGTGCTCATGCATTTTTCACGTGCTTAGCTAAGACTGGAGCATTGAATTATGTGTATGCACTAAGTACAGGGAGAAGCACTGAATCAACACAGGTGGAGAACAAAGTTCTCCATCCACAGAACAAGTATGCCGAGAGCAGTCCCTGTTCTGGCTTCCCGGGCCTCCCTGCTCCCTGGGACCAGCAGGAAGCTGCTTCGTACTTGTTCGCCCAGGCTGCAGCCCAGGCTGCCCCATGAAGGCCCCTTCAGCTGGTACCCGCTGCAACTTAAAGATCTGCCCATAGACAATAGGAATCAAACTTCCTAATCCTTTCACAGGGGCTATAAAGCAGCCATCAGACAAGAACAGTGAGTCAACGTAAGGGCCAAAAGAGGTGAAAGACTTCTTCCCCACACCAGCCTCCTGAACCATGCAGCTGCCAAAGCTCAGGTGCCAGGACTAACAACGCTGCCGCTGGGAGCATACAAGTGCAGCGTCAAGGCTGGAAAGCCTCTGCTTGGCTTGAGCTTTTTATGACTGCTTATTTTATATAGCTCAGAAAGAATCCATGTGATTCTTAAAACACAAGTCAACACACATCCATATGAAAGTGCTTTAAATGTTCTCTTCAAGAGAGATCATGTTTGCTGCCAGATGCCCAGTGCTCTGAGGGGAGTTAAAAAGCTTACAGTAAAATGTTAAAGATAAGATCTAAGAAATTAGCAAACTGGAGTTATGTAAAGAAGTCATGAAAAACCCTTTCGCTCAAAGATTAAGAAACACACAATCTGCTACAAGACACAGGAATCGAAGCCAAGAGCATAAACGGGTTAGAGAAACACGTGAGACAATGATAAACCAGAAAGGTAAGATGAGGAGGAGTCTGGTACCATATTGTAACTCTACTTATTTTTTCGGGTCACTGCTTGTACCCCTCACCCCCTCCAAACTCAGCTGCTTTGCATACATGATGGGAACCATGAATAACTCAGTAGGCAAATGACCTTTCAGCCTCAAGAACTTTTCAGAACAAAAGAGTACAAACAATAATTTCATTTTTTCCATGTTAAAGAGGCTACTGCTTCCTAGAAGTAAGTTAGCTTTGTCTGCACTTCCTTCAAACCTTGTATTTGCTTTACTTTCACATGTACACACACATACGTAAATGTATAAAACACAAACAGTTGTGCTGTCTTCCACCACATCTGATTTCAAGTCCCATGGTGTTCATCAACGCAGGAGAAGGAGCATGATGCTCACTGGATGAACACGAATGGCCAAAGGCGGGCAAGTGCAAAGCTTATTCTGTCTGTGCCTGCTGCTTGCACCACTGCCAGTCCGACTCCTTTCTTGTTAGACTTTCTTCTGCAAACAAGTCTAACCTTTGGATGATATCAACCATCACTTCTCTTCCTTCCCTGATATGAGCAGCATTTAGTTCCAGGCAAGTGAACTGGTTGAATTTATACCCATCTTCCCATAAATGTGGCATCATCGAGTATGTGGCATTCCCCATCTGCAAGACACAGTATCTGCCTCACCCATTAATTAGCACTCCCCAACCAAAGAGACAAGCACCAACCCCACTTCCATGGTGGGGAAGCAACTGAGGAAGGGCAATACTTCATCTACTGTTACAAAGAAAGTCAGTCAAAAATAGAAAGCATTAGAGCTAAGATGGCCTGGGACCAACGCATCCAACACCTTCCTCCCCTTCCAACTCCCCGCAGTTTAGAATAAATGCCTTACGTGTGCAATATTAATCCATTTCTCAATGATCTTGGCTCTTTGCTGTGATTTGAGCTCCTTGTCCTTCAGGATAGTGCTGACAACACATTTGGTAACGACATTGAACTGTGAGATGGTAGCCCTGATAGTCAGCGCCAGGTGCTTATATTCTTTCTTATTCCTTCGAGACCAGATGCATCCCAAACAGTGGTAGGGCACAACCTTCTTGAAGAGTTCCTAGAGTGAAGTAGAGGCATCTAGGTCAGCAGGGTTCTCCTAAATCTCTATTATCCACAAGACGAAATGCATGTTTACATGGATCTAAATCTAATATGGCATTAAAAGGTAAATATTTGTTTTCCGTTACTTTGAAATACACACTTTGGCAGTATGTACACTTTATATTTTGTATACATAAAGTGTATATACATTATATATATATATATATATATATATATATATTTGGCAGAAATAGACACTTTATAGGCTTGATGCCCTAAAAGAACTGACAGCTAAACACTCCTGGGAAAAACAAGGGGAAAATTTTTTATATCATGATACTTTGAAGGAGATTGATACAGACAAATCAAATCAGAGCACTGCATTTATGAGTACCTATACATCTTTAGTATACGTCAGAAAAATGTGCTATTTCTCAGGTATACAAATACTGAGCTTTGCAGAAAAGGCTACACAGTATACATTCACGCTTATTTTAATTAAAAAAAAAAAAAATTAAAATATCTTTGGAATGACTGAAGGAAAAAGACCAATGAACGAAGCAAGTTTGGATAACCAAGCAGAGCTGTGTTTGTGTCCCAACAACAGACCTTTTCTGGAACACCATACTTACATTGACATATCTTTAAAAAAAATTTTTAGAAGCCCCACACTATTTACCCCAGCATTTCAAGTAGTACATATACTCTACATACTGCATCCATGTATGTCAACTGTTCTGCCACAAGGTCTGCCTGGAAAAAAGAGAATTCTTCTGGCCTGCTGATGTCCATTTCCTCTTCATCACATAGGTTACAGAGGGAAGCAACACGGAACCCATCTGTCCAGGATGGAAAACACGACTTGGTAAATTTATACAGCAAACAGTGAATCAAAGCAGATGTTTCTTTATTTTAAACCACCACTGTATATATTATAGCAGAACACACAAAGGGTCCTGCCTGACCTAACAGCCCCACTGTGCTGCATATTTTAGTGAGAAAGATGATGACCAGAAGATTAAATTGGCAAAGAAAAGGTGGAAGAAAAAGAGAACTAAGCTGTTCAGGGTCTCTTAGCAGAGAAGTGACTTAACTCATTCACTAAACATTCTTCTGAAAGAAGAATGCCCCAACAAAAATTTCTTATTAACATTGTAGAATTTTGCTAATCTGCCTTTTAGTATTAATGCATTTTATAATCTGAAAAAACAAAAATAAACCAAACTGAAAAGGGACAAGACTGCAGTTATATCCCCAAAATATTGCATTAGGAGTGCTCTTATATCCAGATTTCAGCTCCCATGTGTGGAACTAAAAGGAGAGATCACATTTCTTGACACCATTTGTGCTTACATAAACTATATTGAAGAGAGTTTATCCCAGCATCCCTTACCTTCCCTCTCTGGGATTTCTGCCCAGAAAAGGGAGAACAGTGAGCACCTACAGCATTCAGCTGAATGCTGCTTCTAAATCTGCCCTGGGCAGCAATGAAGAGGTGAGAGAGGAGAGTTGTCCTCATCAAGGGACCCGATCCAGTGCAGAAGGGAAAGGATTTCACAGATGCTCCCATGTCACCTTTTGGCTCCCACAGGTTGAGAACAAAGCCACAGTAAAACACAAAGAAATATGCCCTTGTTTCCCAGGGTAGAGGAGGAAGTCAAACAGAAAATCTCTGAAAATAAATCCTCTTCCTAATCCCTTTTACTGTAAGGCGACAGTAACTCCATGAGAAGGGAGGGAAAAAAAATGGCCTTGTTGAAGTCTAACAGTGAAAGTGCTGAGTTTACTACTAGTGAGACTTCATTAACAAAAACAACCAGTGCATTTCAGAGTGTGTTCTGCAATACTTCATAATCAGTTAAAGCAGAACAGATATTCAAGCGACAAAAGCAGACTGCGATATTTTAGCATTGTTTTTCAAAATACTTCACTTTTCCTTTCTTTGTTTATTAGCAAAACCTAATCATCAATGGAAATTGCTACAGTTCTGATGTAACAAATTATAACTAGAGGCTCTATCCAGATTTCCATCGGCACATTCCAACTGCACAATTTATTGACAGAGCTAAACGCAATAAATGGAGACCTCTGATCCAGCATTATTTTTCTGAGAGAAATCTCAGAAATAAACAAAGATGGAGCTCTGATAAAGCAAGCGACAAGACTACAACTCTTCTAACCCCACAGGTTACTTGCGGTCTCCTCCTCTTATTTTATTCTATAATTAACAGCCTCTCTTCTGCTGCAATTTGGAAACTGCTATCATTCAAATTGACCCATCTGTAACTCAGAAAAGAACCTTTTCAACTGTTATGTGAGGAAACAAATGCAGAAGCAAGGATGCTGGGAACTTCTGTTCACTTTGAACAACAGACAAACCCAAATATAGCTCTCGTGAGCTTTCCTTGTTTGACCAGGGGGAATCAAACCCAGGAAAGGACACAAATAGGCACCTATCAGCAATCCTGTTCATTTGCCCATGTCCAATAAGGAAAATGCCTGGGCTCTCCGCAGTACTTCTTTTCATGTATGAGTTAATGACCAAGTTAATTTGGCATTTCACAGTATTATGCTTTGACATGGTATTTCTGGAACACCCGTCAGATGTGATTTTCATGGGATGAAATGGGGTTTTTTGCTCTCATTTCCTTTAGTACATGAATCATTCCCTCTTGCCCCTCTATGAAAGCTGGAAGTGGGTCTAGTTCTCATTCTATGTGAGCTCCTATGATTTTTCAGCTTATGCCACAGGAAGCTTTCTGACCAGGATAAGGTATGTGTCAAGCTTGACGCTGCACGCAGCGTATTTGTGTTACTACAGTTCACTATTGTTTCAGTGTCTGTGACCCCCAATAACGTCAGTTTTTCCTCTGTCCTTGGATACCAGCAGCCAACCACTCAAACTGGAAAAAAACAGCCACAGACACTTCCTCTGTCATGACGGTACCTAGGAAGAAAAGCTGTATGACAACAAGGTTTGTGACTCAAGCTGTCTTTTGTCACAGCTCTGTATTTTTCTTTCTGCTGGTTTGGGCTTTTCTTGGTGCGTGTGTGTAAAATGCTGGGGTTTCAACCCTAAGCCCCAAATTAAGGTTGACATATGGTTGATTCCCACAGCCCTTCACAAAGAGGAGGGTGAGTTTGCCTTTAAGCTTCCCTCCAGGGTTTGGCCTGCCTTGCTGGGAGAGCCATTAGGTAAAAGAGCCCCAGGTGTCTGCATTAAGTAAACAAGGGTCAGGTGTCCCACTTAGGGATAAAAGCTGGGACCACTTGTAGGAGGTTAGGTGTGTCTGTCTGTGAGGTGGATGCACTTTGCTGAGTTTCCTGTTGGAGAAGGACCTCCTGAATCCCTGGAACTGGGCTCCAATCAGGTCTGGCTTTTGTAAACGCGGGCTGTGTAAAGATTCAGTATGTGGCTTCCTTGGTCTTATGTATTTGGCTTGTTGTCTCCAGTCCCTTCTACGGGAGACTGCATTTCATCATTTATTCTGCCTATTGTTGGTTGTGCGATGTTGTTGGGGTCAGTGGGATTGATGCAGATTATGTATAATCTGACTTGTTTGTACCCCCAGCACTCACCCATGTACTGACCCTTTTGTATCAAATACAATTTGGTTATTGGTTCATCTTTCTGCTGGCTGTGTCCTTTATGCTAGGCCTAATAATTGGCAAAATAGTGTGTGTGTGGGGTGTTGAAATGAAAAGACCAGCTAGAGACCTGCTGTATTTTTTAATTCCATGACATGGGAAGGGTGCTGACAATTAACGACTTAATTGCTGCAGTCATCTCGAAGTTTTGGCTAGATATTAGACAAGTGCTGGATTTCCCAATCCACCCCACCATAAACAGGCATAGGCACCTACACTATAGGACTATTTCATCCCGCACAGAACCTGCAGTCTCACAGAGATTTTTTTTTTAAAGAAAGAAACAAGAAATAAGTCCCTGGTGAGCCTTACAATATCATCAATTAGCATATGAGTTAGTGAAGAGTACTCCACACAAACCCCTGTGTCACCATACAGTCCGGGAGAACAGGAAGGCAGAAGGGAAAGGTAACTTACCGTCCTTTTCCACTTCTTGGTTCTGGAACTTCTCCAAGAGATTCTGCGCCCTCTTCTCCAGGTCAGAGCCAGGGATATTCTTCTTCAAGTAATCCAACAGCTTCATCAAACATGAGTAGTCAGGTGGCTCTCTGAAATCCTCAGAGCACTGATCAAGCCAGGCTCCTAAGATTGATGCTATTGCACTAAGGGCAAACACACAAGAACACACTGGTTGTAAACAGCATGTATTGATGCAACCACAGGTATCTGTATCTAATACAACAATAAAAACACAGACATTCATACCCCACATGAAGGCAGTATGAAGACGTTTTTGAGCACAGAATTTAATTGTTATGCATGGAATCTTATTAAGATATCACTCAGATTTTGCCAGGGACCTCAGTGAAGTTGCTCCTGATTTGCCCTCCCCCAAGTGGATCTGATTATAGTCCCCAAATGAAAAAGAATAAAGAATCAAATCTACTTAAGCTATATTGAGACTCTTCTATTAAATTCAGGACATCAAATATTGATAGAATAGAACAGATTATTTCAGTTGGAAGAGACCTACAACGATCATCTAAGTCCGACTGCCTGACCACTTCAGGGCTGACGCAAAGTTATGGCACGTTGTTAAGGGCATATTGTCCAAATGCCTCTCAAACACTGACAGCCTTGGGGCATTGACCACCCCTCTCTGGGAAGCCTCTTCCAGGGTTTGACCACCCTCTCAGTAAAGAAGTGCTTCCTAATGCCCAGCCTGAACCTCCCCTGGCACAGCCCTGAACCATTCCCATGCGTCCTGTCCCTGGATCCCAGGGAGAAGAGCTCAGCACCTGCCTCTCCACGTCCCCTTCTCAGGAAGCTGCAGAGAGCCATGAGGTCACCCCTCAGCCTCCTTTTCTCCAAACCAGACAAGCCCAAGGTCCTCAGCTGCTCCTCACAGGACATGCCTCCAGCCCTGCCACTGCCTTGGTTGCCCTGCTCTGGACGCATTCAGGGTAGCAGCTTCCCCGTGGAAGCGCTAAATCAAACGCTTCCTTTGCTGCCCTTCCTCCCATCGATTGCTCCTACCAAGTCTAGGGACCAAGCTGAAGCTGCACTGTCCTCCAACACATACTACTCACGATCTGCTGTCTTAGGAGAAAGACTGAAGGAAACCTTGGCTTCTGTGAAAAAGCAGTCTAAGCCTGAACCTAACCCCCATGAACATACACAGTGACATTGCCTCATCTGTGAAGATAACACCCTAACCGTGACATGGGCAGCATGGGCAGCACTGTGCTGCCAGTGCCCAGTATCAAGCTTGAAGCGCCAGGACAGCTGAACTCAGAAGACAGATCGGCCTTGCTAATCTCAGGATGAAATGCATTTAACAAAAATGTATCAGCAGAACCTTGAGTTTACCCTTAGCTCAAAGACAGGGAGGGTTTGTCATATTAAACCATGCAAAAAGGTTATGCTCGGTTATGCTGGAAGATGAATGCTTAAGGAGTTAGAGGAGCATTGGATCTTGTTCGGGAAAGTTATCGCACGCCTTCTTATATACATGTAGCTAAAAAGACACCAACTGCAGGGAACTGCCCATGGACAATCCTAACACAGACTGAGAGGGATGAGGGGAAACCAAAGCTGATGCATCAATGCGGTTTCCACCCTGCCTGAAACGGAGGGAAGAGATCCGTTTATCTCCTTTTCCTGGTTTATGTAGGTTTTAACCCACACCCACCTATTGGGATTGGTACTTAGATACTCCACAAATGGATGCTTATGGGAAATTCTTTAAATCCTGTCTTTGCAGGGACTTCCCATCATTTCAACTTGATTTTGTAACAAGACGTAAAATTTATGCTATGCTTTTCCAGAGATAACTCACAATGTTGTTGACAAATTTCAACTGAGTGTGAAAAAAATGGACAAAGTCCGCTAAAATAATCAAATTACTTCAAGTTTTAAGAAACTTCAAGCCTGGATAAAAAAAGTAACTATCAACTTTTCTTTTTTTCTGCTGCATTTTCTGTGAGATCTTTGGTTCATCACAGCAATGTGCCGGTAACTCAGCATGTCTATATTGGTGCGCTACGACCACCGGCCACAGCACATATTACAGGCTGGGAAGACACAGACAGAATATCAAAAAACACTGTAAAGAAAATTTTGTTCACATGAGCTGACAGAGGGTTTAGGGAAAAGGACTTTTGTGTGCAGTCACATAACATGACACACTGTCCACAGCCACTGCCTCATAATCACCTACTGTGACAGAGTAGGGCATAATGTGAAAGGGAAAAAGCCCCTTGTTCCAGAGTAAAAGGCACAAGAAACCTCTAAATTTCCTGAGAAAAGGACGTTCTGAAGATTTCCCCTGTGACACTGAAGCCATCCCTGTATTTCAAATCTCTTCTAGTCAGTAGTCACATAAATGCTGCTGCAGGCATGGGGGGTGACTTACACGTATCGCTGTCAGGGAAAGCGGGGTAAGACGTTTAGGAAAGAAGAAACCGTCTTCTAGAGAAGCAGATCTCATCAGCTCCACCGCCATCAGAAAAACGGCTGAGATGACCAAGTGACAACAGCCCTGGTTTGCAGCAGGTCCTATTCACTTCAGCAAACGCTTAGGGCCCTGCTGTGTAGTTAGCTGTGAGAGCTTAGCCCTCCAATGACCATATTTTTCTCATCTACAGAAACCTTCCCTCATACCTGTTCCAACAACCCCACTTCACAAAACCCTCGTGCAATAACGGGACCCCATACTCCCACTGATATTCCATGAAGGGCCATGCTCTCAGTAAAAACCTCTGACCACAAGCGTCCAGTCAGACACACTGATGTGTCAGCTCAAAGAACATCTGTACTCTGCTCCTGACAATCGGGCACGAACCCAAAATCCAACCCAGAAAATTCCCTATCAGAGCTGCATACATATACTGGCACCTTTGTTCTGCAAGTAGGGAAACCACAGTAATATCTGGTTAACTCTGCTGCATTCAAAATAAACCAATAGTTAAGAAAAAGTAAAGATAGTTTCTCCCACTCTCCTTGTCTCGTCTTAACTGTATTGTTTTTTCCTCAAAACTCAACTTTTATTCCCATATAGATACCACTTTAGAAGTCCTAGCCAGTTTATTCTGTTGTTTCTTCTGTTTTTTTTCTCTGATATTGTGGCAGCTTAGAATTTCTAATAAGAGTATTTGGAAATCCATCAGTAATACTGTTTGGTTAGGCTTGCTCTCAGGAGAAAGTCTGGAATTACAATTGTACAAAATGTATTTGCAATCAAAAATTAACATGCAAACATGTTCTGGATTTCAGGTTTCATTGCAAACATGAAACACAGATTGTGTAGCTTAGAAGTCTCTCTTCACATCTGAAACTCATTTTGGACCGAATTTTCACAACTCTGCACAGACAAGCTTCCACCACACATGCAACAAGCACAGCCCTAACAGTTTATGTCAATGGTGGCCAGTTTTATCTGGAGCTTCAGGACTATTTTTCTCAGCCAGGACAGGTGTCACACAACAGCCAGTGTTCCACAACCACCACCTCAAAGCTAACAGTGCCAGCTCAGCTCCACATCCCATGACACAAGAAAGGCCACAACAGACAGGTGCGCACAGTGATGCTCCCAAGCTCTCACTGCACCCTCCACTCTCCTCACTTTTAATCGCACTCTCTAGCCCCACACATACCCAGAACACTGTGTCACAGCAGCACTCAGTCACAAATGCCACTGGCCTACGCCCACCGTATTTCCATTTATTTTCCACCACAGGCAGGGGAACACTGTGCCTCACTGCATACCCTAACTGTGTATTTCCTCCTGCTCTGTGCTCCTTTTTTCCCTGTTCACATCACAAACTCACCATCACCTCTACTGACTTCTCCACCAAAAATTAGGCTAGGGATCCTCTTCTTATGAGCATTTATCCATTCAGCAATGATTTGGAAGGAGCCTCTCCACAGGAGTTCTTTTACTAATATTGTTCACATGCTCTTTACAGTAAGCTCAGTTTCCAGAGGCTTGGTTGATGGCTACTTTCATAAACTGAAGAATAAACAAAGTTTAAGACAGACCCAGTATCCCAGAGCACGGTGAAGAGTTCACAGCTGTTACAGACACTGATTTTTGCCAGCAAAATCATTTCAGTCAAAATGGGACATAGGAAAGAGGAAAAAAGATACGCCAGGCCCTACTGACTTCCTATCACCTGTTTAATTGGTGTGTCAGGGAGAGACATTTTCTGAAAGCGGGTTGCAGAATTGCCCATATCTTGCAGTAGCTTTGCATTTGCTGCCCTTGAAAAGAAACTCCCTGTACTCGACAGACCCAAAGACAGATAGAAATGGGGGCCTTCCAAGATCTCAGACAGGAAAGAAACATCACAGACTACATTTTTCATGGCCTGATTATGAGCTAGAATTTTTTCCCTTTCCTGCCTGTAAGAAATTTTTTTTAATGTTTAACTCCTCTTCTGCCAACCGTAGTTTCTGGGCTCTGGACAGCAATGCTTTCAAGTTTCACATCTATCAAAGTCTTCCGATTTCCAGCTTTGCGTGAAGCCCATCTCTGAAGGTTTCAGTAATCAAAATCTACCTGGGTTAGGTGGAAGTAGAGCATCTCATCTGATCCTCTCATTTACAAACTGGAAACACAGAACAACTCATCCAGTCACCCATGAGCTACCACAAAACATGATGAGACTGCAGCAGCTCCAAGTCTAACCTCTCCATTAAGCTGAGCTAGCAGGGCACAGAGGAGGTGGAAAATGAGGCCTTCATATCACATAGCCACAAGTGATTCAATAGCTTACATGGAGATTGTGCATAGTCTTTTCTCAACCGGGAAGACAGCTATAGCTCTGGTCCTGAAGAGGTCTGCGTAGGAATTAGAGATCATTTCTTGCCAAAAAGGCAAAAGCAGTGTTTTCTTTCCCACCGCAATTATTTCTAAAAAACGAGTAGAAGGGAATCTCAACAATTAAGGAGAACCTCAGTAGCAAAAAGACATTAAATGATTGATTTCTTATGAAATTAGACAGAAACATGCACAAAACTATTTGTAATTTGCCAAAGCATGGTTAAGAGCATCGATGGAATAATCTTTACAGAGGGCTATTCGCTCTCCTCCACTGTCCATGCAATAGCTTTCAGGCTTGCCCACACAGACGAAATTAGGCCAGCTATATCTTCTCAGTTT